GAGGGCAATATGCATCAACCGCTTGGGAGAGGTAAAACGGTAGAATATTATACCATGGTTCTTCATATTTTCGCGCAGCAGAAGGCTCACAATTTTTAGCGCTCCGACGACAGCGAGGCATCTTGTCCTTGATGTCGTAGTGGTTTCGCCCTCGTTGGTTGTTGGATAATGTCTATCTCACTAGTCTCAAAATAAGCAGTAGATCAGTAGTGCCCGCGACCCTCAGAAAGCAAGGTTTGCATGCTAACACAACCAATGAATGCAGCATGGTCGATTTTCAAGACGTAGAGCATGCATCGGGAAGAATGTAGAGTGAGCACAACTGAGTACCTCTGCATAAATCTGGGTGTACAGAATACCTTACCAATCAGAAGTGGCAACATTTCAATCAATGCGCATTGATAAAGGAGTGCTTTTCCGACGGAAAATGCACTGGCTGGCAGCTGTGACTGTGAATCTAGGAGAGCCCCAAAATTATTGCTAGCAACGAAGCTCGTGCTCCTTTTTTATCCATTGTGGGCGGAGTTCCCCGGCACATTTGTCTTCTGCGCTCAACGATTCCAGAAGCCAGCACTTCTACGGCTCCGTGAAGATCCTCTACATCCACACGGATCTTTTGCCTCCACGGCGAAGCCCGAGAAAAATTGGGGGAGCGTTAAAATCTAGAAAGCCAATATTTATAGCTCTTGGGCACCCCTAAATTTTATGGAGATCGATCAAGAAAGAATGCCGATATGTGAGAGGGTGGCAAACGCTTATGAGTACATGGTCTCACACATTGCTTGGTGCACTCGATTGTGCAACGAGCAGAGCAATTGATTCCACATATACCAACTCTACAGGCTTGGAGCACACACCCCGTTGCCGCTTTTCATAAATAGCGTGCTTGTCTCTCATGAGTTATTGCACATTCATTCGCCTTAAATCCACCAACTGTATCTTCGGTCCTTCTGCCTCAGAGTGTGGCTGCGGATCTCGAGCCATCAGGTTCAGGCCCAGCTACGAGCGAAAACCCTTCATGTAGACCAAGGATGCAGGAGGCCACCTGGCAGGCGAGGTCGTGCTTTAAATCCACTCATCACATGGAAGCAACTTAAGCCAGGCAATCGCATTTGTAACAAACGTCGCAAACAGTGTAGAAAAGTGAGATTGACGCTTTTCGTTCATCCATATGCCTTAGAGAGCTCCGCAGTTGTCATAGACCCAAGCTAGGCTCGTTATCGACATAAAAATCTGGTTTTAGTCAAGGCGTTCTACTCAGTTTGCATGGAATTAAGTCAACATACAGCAAGCACCCCTTACTTAATGGCCGGCAAGCAGACCACCATTTCGCAGCAAGGTGACTGCTTTTCGTGTATCCACAGCAAAGTAGGCGCGCTATTCCCCGACACGCCAACGCAATTACTTGTGACTCACTGGCGTTTCATACTCGCAGAAGCGAGTAGGGCTGTGCACTATTTTAGGAAGTATTTTAGCTTGTTAATGCCATAGCTTAACTGCAATGGCAAGTTAGTCGGGATTCTAATAAGCATACAAAGGAAGGCTGGATGCTTTTCTACATGGATAGTGTCTAAGCATTTAGCTTATTTGAGAGGTAGCACCTTTCTCCTCGGCATGGACCTTAGCTGCGCGGCACAATCAGTAACATGTAAAGGCATGCAAGTATTTTCCTTATTAAAAACCATTGAGCTTGTGTAATTCCGGTTTTAGGCTGCAGGATTTGAGCCAGATCCGGCAAAAACTTGAGGTAATCAAGGCGTGCACTTTACATTTGCGCACCCTTACAGGTGCTGAGAAATTCTATGAACTTGCAGCATATTGCCCAAATTTCGTTCTTGGATTTGCTTGCATTGCTGCTCCTTTGACTGCTCCTCTGGAGCACTACAGTCTATGACTTGGATAGAGGTGGCTGATGCTGCTGCAACGACGCGTATCGGCTGCCTTGCAACTTCTGCGGTTCTTGCGCTACCCAATTGTCAGCATCCAAAAGGATAAAGACCAATGCACGTGATTTGGCGGCGGGTACCATTCTCTCCCAACAGGCTACGAGTTCTCAAAAACACCAAATTATTGCTTTATTTTGTATATTCACTTCATAGACACCGAGCAGCAACAAGCAGTGCGGTAAAAGAAATTATGTGGTGCGATGGGGCTTGTCAAAATGCCGGTGCTATCTTATGGGCGTCCTCTTTTGTTCATAACAAGCCTCACTCTTTGCCCACCGTACACAGAGTTGCCAGGACACACATGACTCTATTGTTCCCTGGCTTTGGCGCCTCGTGCAGTATCAGTTTACAGTCAAGTATGTAAAAGGCATTACAAACGTGATTGTTGACGCGCTTTGGTCATGCCCCAGCGACTCGCTATTGTGCAGCGCAACCACCTATATCTGTCATGCCTAACGGTTCCTATCAAAATTGCACCAGTCTTATACTTTTGAAAGCCGTGCATTCGCTATGAATGCCAAAATTCAGAACAACGAAGAGGTGAAGCAGTACCACGTCGAGGATGGCCTGCTGTAGTTTAAAGCAATGCGACGACTCCGCCGCTTGTACATTTCGACTTCGCCCCTAAGTGTGGTTCTCCACAAAGTACGCATTCACATTGCTTCGGGCCATGTTGGAATCCACACCATAATGTTAATGCCTTTTCTGCCTAGCATGCATCCCGTGGCAGAGCAGTATGCACTGGTATGCTTAGATGATTAGCAGGTGAAGCCACGCAGTTGTGCATGTAGGTTGCTTTTCACACGCTCAACACAAATGTTTAAATTGCCCCCTGCCCCAGGTCTATCACGACTTGGGACGGCGCCCAATTGAAAATGGCTCATGTCTGGAAGTTCCACTGATCCCTCGCCAGCATTAATGCTGATAAGATTCCGACGTTCGTTAGTGTTCTTCAGGATACCTTTCACAACCACAATACGACCGCTGCAAGCCACCCTGAGGCAGATGGGGAGGCACATTGCGCCAACAGCACTGTTCTACAATAGTTGAGACTTCGTGTTCACAAAAGTGTAAATGCTTGGCTTGAACCTCTTTGCAATGGTGAGCGGGAATTTAATGTGCAGCAGTTGTCTATGGGGGCCCCCTCCAATCTGGGCTGAGACTTGATGCTACGTCAGCAACATCCATGCTTCACACACAAAAGATCCAGAAATCAGCTAGCTCGTGCATGAGAATGTATGGGCAAACGCTCGAAAAAGATGCCTAAGTGGTTGCCGGTTGTGTGCTTCAAGCTTCGAGATCGGTCCTGGTGGATCGACCTTTGACAAAAACACTACAAGGCGGAGAGACGAAGGGATTAGCGTCCAGATGGCTAGTTTTGTTTGACTTTTACATAAGAAAAAGTGCTCTTTCGTACTCTATCGCTTTCCCTATAAGTTGTAAAACTGTGTTTTCGGCTCTCTCAAAGAGTTTTGAAGCGCCCTGAAATATTCGCGAGCGTTGTGGCACAACGGAGAGACCCGTGTGGACGCGGGGGATCAACAGGGATCCGTAGAGGAGCTGGAATTGTGAGCGCCGAAGGTATATTGGACGGGACCTTCTAGTGCCGAAGGGCGGAGAACCCCAATCTCAGTGGTTGGTGGAAGAACGATTGTGGGCTTCGTTTCCGCAGACGTTTTCGTGGTTCTTTTTGGTTAACCGTGCAAGTCGCTGTGGACAGTCTTCGTCGCGTTGCTCGGAAATTGCTATTCCTCAGCGCGTGCTCCACCCCACATAGCTACCTCGTCTTTGAACATTGCTGGAATAGGTCTTTCATAGTCTTGGCAAGGTGTGATGAACACTCGGAATAATGCGGAGGCACTCGCAGCTCTATTCTCTCTGCAATCTTTCTCATGGGGTTTTGGAGCTTGGAGGGTCATGAAGCTGCATGCACCCTATGTATTTGCCTGCAGAGCCTAATAAAGCGGCACTACTGAGGCAATGTATGATAAGATTTCCTCATCACATTTTACTTGTTTGCTTCTTCGTAGCAAGAGGCTCACACATTTCAGGGCGCTCACGACAACGAGCCACTGTCACCCTGGTTAGGTTAATTTGACCCCTTGTCCGTTGTATACTAGCTTCTGTCTTGCTTCCCTCGAATTCTCTGTGTGCTGGTGCACGCCTTTGCTTTTTCGTGCGCACGGTTTTCGTGTTCCTGCCTGCCTGGGAAGTGGCTATGGGGCGATGATTCCTCCGCTACCCTGCGTGGAGCTTATCTCAACGAACAGGTAAGAAAAATAAGGGCGTGTGTTTGCGATGTGGAAGGCAACATGTGGGGCGCTAAGCTACATATAGGCACTTCCTTCTATACCGGTTACTCTTAAGTTAGACTTGGCTGGGGATTACATAACTGCTTTGTCTGTTTGAGGTCTTATCTACTGCAGAGTGCGCTTTATTTGCTTCAAGAAGACCGATTTCTGAGTGCACTTGCGCTAAATGATATGGATGGTATGTGTAACCAGACGTGAATGCTCAGACTGCGTAGGGGGTGTAGCTTTATGCATAGCTGTGTGCTCGTGTCGGGGAATCTGGGAGGGGGAGGGCGGGAGTTCTTTTACACGATCTGTCTGCAACGTTTTATGAAGTTTATTGTAGTGCCAATATCAAATGTTTTTTCCGGATATCTTATGAGGAACACGCATCAGCAAGTGCTTGAGAATGCTACACGCTGTGGGCCCTCTGACGTGTTTTCCAACGGTTTACCTAAATAAAGTGTCGCGTGGAACTTGCTTTTTCTGATGGCATGAAGAACAAATAGTAGCCAGTTTCCATACTGCTTTCTAACTAACCGCCTATCCTGCAGCATCCAACGTCGGACCGTCTGGCAGACGTCCGAGGTAGCTGTACCTCCACTGACGAGACTCTCAGCTATAAGAGCTCAGCCGACAATTTCTCGATATCACATTAACCGTAAGGAAAAAAAAGGGTACGACAGTCCTGTGCTGGATTTCTTGAGAGTTTCATGTACACATTACTCACACGATACGCAGCAGCAGCCACCGGCGCTGCAGCTCAGGCTTCACCAGGAATGACGTCCATAAAATGAAAAATATCCTCTTTGTCCTGCCATCCCACTAGTGTTCCGCAGCCTTCGCATAGTACCTCATTAATCGCATTCAATTCCTCATTCTGCAGCTGCCACTGTGCGGAATCGTGATCGGTGAGGCGGTCCACAATGTGCTGTAAAATTGGCAGATCCGATGCACTCGTCCCTCCCCTCCACAGCTTCTCCTTCTCGCCTAGATGCTGCTGCAGCTGCTCTGCCCCTATAGGCCTAATCATCACATGGAAAGCGGCGACAGCTCTGAATAGATGCCGCGCCGATTCATGCCTGAATCCAGCAGTGACAAATTACACATTCCAGATCAGCTTTATAGAAGCTAGTCCTTGGGAATTAAGCTGCAGGGTAGTAGTAGCACAGCTCAAATGGCCTCGACTCTACATCTCGACCAGCTTCATTCTCTGGTTTACTGCATCAAATAAAACAAACGGCCGCAAAAGGAGCACCAACAATAACATTACCTTACCTTTGGCATTGGTAGCATATTGGCAAGAAGCATCCAGGGCAAGAGAGCACTGCATCTGTGTCGCCTTCCCCACATCTGAGTTCCTTTCGAACCCACACGGAATCCCTCTCATCCAGGGAGTCATCGTATAAGAAGCCAAAATCGGCAGTTTTACTCCTCAGAGCTTCTCCCCCATCGCTTTCCTCGCTTTCCCCATCCACAGCACCCGCCTTTCGGTCACCGGAGATATCCTCTTTCTGTGTCGCCCCTACATCGGGCTGCAGTATTACTCGCAAACGGGGCCTCGAAAAGGCCCCCCAAGGCATCTGACTGGAGGGTAGGGCTTTTTGTTCAGAGGTTTTGATGACGCTGCTAATGCAAGCTTCAGAAGTGCAGTCTGCTGATGCTGTGTTGCCCGCCGATTGCCTTTCATCAGGGATAGTCGGAGGCCCCAGAATACACCGTTCCCGCAGATACGTGGCTAGCTCCCTCATGACCGGTCCTGCAGCGAACTCCCGCAAACGGCTCTTAGCGCTGCTGTCTCCTCTTGTGCTGCTGGTGTTGTACACTTCTGGATGAGGATCTGTTGGACGTTGGTCTGGCTGGGAACCAAGTTCGGCAACCCTGTTCAAGTTACGCTGAGGGCCCAAGGGCCCCACAAAGGGCCTACCATCGTGCATTGAAGAATCCAGGAGATACTGGACAGAATACTAATCCGGCTGAAGGCACAAAGCCCTTTGCGCAAGAGCCCATATAGCAGCTACAACCGACGAGCCTGCTACTAGCGTTAGATAGGCTGCAGGTGCTTGAAAGAAAAACTTAAAAGTATAAACAGGGAGCTACCTGCTAAAATGTAGACATGAAAACCGCAAAACGAAACAAATGGAAATGTGCATCCCGCTTTTGTTCTACCTGCCGTTGCTGCGGGGCCGGCATGCACCGATGAACACTTTTGGGGCCCCGCATTTGAGAGAAGATTTTGAGCCTTCCTTACAAGCCTTCTCCTTTTCCTTTTCATATTGAAACCAGTAGCATCCGCCACGAAGGTGTAGCATGTGAACTTGTCGGAAAAAGGACGATTCTGGGGGAGACTTCGTCATTGGGCTACGCGGGAGAGGTTTTAGGTATTCATAGTCTCACTCCTTCCCACAGGGGAGAAGTGGATATAGCGTGCTGCTTCACAGGAGCAGCGGTAGGAGCAAGAGCAGCATCAATAGCGGCAGCAATAGCACCAACAGCGACGGGCCATGTGTGTGGAACCCGACTGCGGCCCAACTGCAGGTAACATGGTGGGAACAAAGGTTAGCAGAGGCGCTTTTGAAAGCGGCATCCATGACAGTGGTAGCAGAGGAAGTAGCAATGGGGAAAGCAGCCGACAGGGGAAAAAGTTTCTCCAGAGTGGGGGACTCGATGCTCGAGATAGCATGACGGAATACTTGCTACAGCTGCACGGCGCTTCACCGTTGCTACACCCCGTGCCTTGTGCCTCTTTCTTCACCGTGAAGACCACTGTCAAGGACCTAACAGACTACAGCAATGATGGAAACTACAATTGCAGTACCATGGCGAAAGACTTGTTTGTGGCAATAGAACAGAGGCCACCAGAGGCCAACCCTAAGGCCTTTAAGGCCTTTGCCAGGGCCTTTCATGCAGTGGCACTCCAGCGGATCGCTGCTACCAAGACATGCAGTGTATGTGGGGCGTCCTGGCAACAGCAGCAGGTGCAGAATGAGCAACACGGCGCAGATCAGGGGGACTGGGGCTTATGTCTGTTGCCCCATTTGAATCCATCGCAGCAAATAAAGTCATATACCCTTCCACAAGTAAGACCATTGTTTTTGCTACTGGTGTGACAAGTGCTGATTTTCGGTATTGGTGCGCATATTTTTGCTTCGGCTTGGATTTTTGGCTTTGTCAGTATTATTCCACATCGCCACCTAGTGTATGTAGAACCTCGAGGTGTTCGGTGCTGCGGCGAGTGACTGTAAACTCGTATTGGTGCTGGTGCTGCTGCAGGTGGCATGTGGCATGTGCATTCGTGTCCTCGGGCTAAGTTGGCTGCTAGCTGCTGCAGCAACCAACGTTGCAGGGGAGCAGCAGCCCGAATGTGTCACCAGTCGTCATCTCACTGCTGCACTGAAACACTACCGATCTGTCAATTCGGTTGGGGGGCTTGACTGTGCGTCCAAACAACCCTGCTGGGACGGCAGCAGCGAGAACAGCCGGAATGCGCTAAAGCAGCAGAAAGCAGCAGCCGGTAGTTGCTGCAGCAGCTTTAAAGCGTTACCCCATGAAGTGCAGCAAAGGGCCCTTGATATATCTATCGCTACTGCGTTTTCCATTGAGCAACTCGCGAAGTAAGCCATAAAAACCGAGAAGTTGGCCATCACACCACGTGGGCCAATCCTTGTGCAGGTAGTCGAGCTCCCTGTCCTTACTGCCAGTTTTGGTGAGGTATGTGTATCTTTTGCTTTCTCATTGCTCTTGCTGAATAATCACTCATACTATGCACACTGAATGCAATAATTGGGATCTACAGTCCGTTGTGTGCCATACGGCTGGTCGGGACAGTTACTTCTACGTGGTGGGTAAGCTAGGGTCTGTTTACATTTTCCTCATCCACTTCTTGAATGTTTCATGTAACAAGCTTCTAAGTAAAGTGTGCACTTTTAGGTACAATTATATATGTATGTTCCTCCTTTGGTTCTGTTCATCTGCTTTTCAGAGAAATACCGTGGAAGCTGAAGGGCCCCACTGGGTCACTAAAAACGCTGATAGAGGCATTAGGGAACCCCAATGCTGCTACAGCAGTTGCTTTGAGTAACCGATTATTGTTATCTGCAAAGGAAGAACCGGACGAGGTATTGCAGCGGCCAACGAAGCAGCATCAGCAACAGCACCATGAACGATTGGTAGAGAAGCCGCCGCAAAAAACGAAAAAACATAATAGCGGCGGCAGCTGTGTCAGCGCAAGGATCAAAAGGAAGGACAGGGGTCCCACTGATAAAGTATCTCAGGCGCAGGTCATCACCAGTCGGCGCAAACGAATGACCCTTGCTTGTACTGCCGGTGCACAGGCTTTGTCTGTTGCTATGGGTCCGCCAGAGCGAGAGCAGGCGAAAGAACAAAAACAAACTTCGAGGAGCAAATAGAGCCAGTTTGTGTATTTGTTTTGTAGGTGCATACAAAAGGAATTTCCCTATTTCCATTACGCCATGCCATCAGTGGGAACTCTCTGGATAGTCTGCATGTAAATAGCCGTTAGCTAATGGACAACCGTTTAAGGGAAAAGTACAATTCAAAGCGTTAAATTAGTTGGCCAGGACGTATGTACATTATACACATCCAAGAGTCTTAGGTGAGAGGAGGCAAAGGCAGAGTACCTATTTTGAAAACTGGGAAGCAGCTAGAAGTATGGCAATGTGTGGCGTGGGCCTGAGATCGACAACCTGCGCTTCCTGACAGTGTGGTAAGGGTCATGTCGCAACGCTCCATTCAAGGTCTCCTCATGAAGGCACTGAACGCAAAATTCCATAGGAGCATTGCCGAATAATACTGAGTGTCCTGTAGCAGGTGAAATTGCATTTCAGCGCTTTATTCTTCAAGGTTAAATTTAAATGAGAATTGGTGGCAAACTGACTAGTTGATTTGCATGTAAAGCTTGTGCATTGCAGATTAGCGGTAGCTCGATACAGGAACATGCGAAGTTATGTGCATGTGCGCCGGATGCGAAGTTCCACTAGTTGAAGGTGCTCACAGGGCCCAGGTACGCTCACTCTGGCTTTAGTGGTCATAAAATGCGGGCATCCAGGGCCCCTCGCAGTCATCAGTGAAGCTGCAGCATCAGCGAACGCTCCACAGCAGAGTTATTCACCATCACTTCTGCGGCGCCTAAGCATTGGCTACTGGAGGACCCTTCACGCCACACTTTTAGAACTTCAGCTCTAGGCAGATGCTACTGCGGCTCCCTTGCTAGTGCAAGTGAAGGCTAAAGGAAGTTTAAAACCGTCAGTGAGTGTATCACTGTTAAGGTCGATGTCAAACATGGTAGTTGTTTCGGTGGGCTCAGTACGCAAGGGGCCCCGACTTTCAAACCTTGAGGCCTCAGAGGGCCCCAAAAGAAGCAGCTTGAACCTGAGCTTCTGATGAATTGAGGATTCCAAGAAGCTTTTCTACATAATAGAGTTAATGGTTTTTCCCCCGAATATTGCGAGTTTCTTTTGACTCTTTCACTACTTTTACAGCAGAAGCGCTAGGGTCTAGATTCAGTGGTTCCTAAGGAAGGAAAGCGCCCCACAGGACACTGGAGTGCGAGGCCTCTGCCTAAAGCCTCGCGCCTTCTGGTTTTTAATTTTTTGGATCGGGAACATGGGGAAAAAGCTGAAAAAGCATCAAAAGGGGGAAGTGGCCCAATACACGACAAGGGCAAGGGCCCTCAGGAAGTTGCAGGTAAGGAGCCACCTCGTCCACATTTAGGGAACTTTTACGTTGGTTTGGCGCTACACTCTGAGATTTCCTCCTATCTTTGTCTCCCCGTGCAGTTTAAATGTGCCTTTTATAGCAAATAGGGGCCTCTGTTGCCCTCCTTGCAGTCCCTTGGTGATTCCTTGGCGCCACAAGCCTCGCTCCTTCCAGAGGTCCTCAGGATGAACATGGAGGCTGCCTTATGAATGTATATGTGTGATCCCTGAGAGCTACTTCCTCAGTCTTCAGAGAGTGTGTAGACCTCGGGCCGTGTTAGTTGTTTTGCGTGGTTTACACACACTCCAATGACCACATGTGGCTCATCTGAGGCTCAGAGAATGTACCTTCTGTGCGTTCATTATTCTACGCCGCTTATGTTGTGTATAGTGGCTGTAGCTCTTTTAAATGGCTGCCTTTGGTGTGCGGCTCAAGGTTTTACGGTTTATGTTATGCGGTATTTTTTTTACGTTTATGTAGGTCTCCCTAGCGGACTTCCGTCGCTTGTGTATATTGAAGGGCATCTATCCTCGTGACCCAAAAAAGAAACGGTTTGGCGTAAACCAGGTTTACTACCATAAGAAGGACTTATTGCACCTACAGGCAGATGGAGTGTTGCTCTCTGCACTGAGAGATATTTCAGCAACCAACAAAAAGATCAGAAAGAGCGTGGGAAGGAAGGAGCACAAAGATGCCAAGAGGAGGCTGAGACTTAGGCCTAAACTACCGCTTCAGCATCTCATCAAGCAAAAGTTCCCTTCGCTTCTTAGTGCCATAGAGGACATCGACGACTGCTTGTGCACCGTCTTCCTTATCGCCAGTAAGAACCGAAATGGAAATGCGTGTGTTTGTCCCAATGCTACTGCCTTTGCCGTTCTGCCTTGTGTGCTAGTGCTGATATTGTGACTTTTATCCCCCCGAAATCCGTCGATCCTGCTAATGCATCATTTGCGGGGTTATGCTGTTCGTGTACTTGCTTTGCGACTGCACACACTGTGTATAGTCCTGTATGGCTTTGCATCTCTCTATGTAAGCTGTGACATGCCTTTCCACCCCCTGTATTTTTTCCTCTCTGCTTCTGTTTGCTCGTGTAATTAGGCCTCCCCTCTGCCGCATCTCGCGGTTTGCCTCCTGAGAGGTCATTGCTGTCCGTGCAACTTTGTGACGAGTTTCTGCTGTTGCTATCACACCTACGGGCTTTGCGAAAGGCATTTGTCTCCATCAAGGGGTTCTTCTTCCAGGCAGAACTTTTAGGCAGACAAGTCACCTGGGTTCTCCCACATGCTTTTGCGCAAGTAAGTCCGAGCCTTGCAAGGGGGCTCCGTGCTATAGCTGGTTTTATTGCTGCTTATGGGGCGTTCGCTGTGTTTGTCGGGGCGTTGGCTACTGCGGCTTTGCTGCACTGTAACAGCTTTCAACCAATGGTTTGATCATCAATGCAGTTGATAGAGCTACGTCGATGCTGCGGACGGTCATTTGTATGTGGTGTTTAGGCCCTTCCCCCTGAAATCGACTGCCGCGTGTTAGATACCTTTTCATTGATGTACTGTTCATCCTTGCGGCACATTCTCTACAAGCTTTATAAAATGGAAGGCCTTCGGTACCCCCCTGCGCCACCTAAGGGGGCCCCTACTGCTGCTGCCGGCTCTGCACACCTCTCTTGTCACAGTCTACAGCAAGCCGTCAGCAGATTCCACATGCTGAAGGTCACTAAGGCACCACAGCAGCAGCATGATTCTGCATCTGCTGCTGCTGGAGAGGATGAGCATGCTACAAATCCATTGGAAGACGCTACAACTGCCGGAGATAGCAGCAACGCAGAGCAAGACACGGAGACCAAGGAGGAAGGCGAAGAAACTGACTCCGCGGCAGAGGAAAGAGATGATACAGGGGAAGAAGAAAGCGAGGACGAAGAGTTGGAGGAATCAAAAATAGAACTGGCAGAGGCCGATCAGCGAGACAATGCAGCACCCCCAGCCAAGACCAGCAAACCAAAGGCTTCAGCCGGCGTCGTACGGCACGACACAAAAGCAGCACCGGAAAGCAACTCAGAGGGAGAGGAATCAGAGCTGGAACGGCCAGACAGAGAAAGTGATACAGACAGTGAGGAAGAGGGAGAAAGCAGTGAGGAGGATAGTGAAGACGCCGATACAGCTGCAGGTGCAGAGCAGGTGAGGCAGTGCCCCGCTGGGCACCTAGAGCAGCGGCTGAAGCTGCGCTTAACGAGCAGAGGAGGCTGGTAGAAGTTTGTTGCTGTTGCTGCCTTTGTGCAGAAGACGACAAGCAGCCCGCTGAAGGGCTGCGGTGTTTCGGAACATCCTGTGCAATGCCTCTTTGAAGGCCTCGTCTTCTTCGTCTGCAGGTATGTTACCTCCACATTCGATCTGGTTGATGCAGTGCCTTTTGGGGCCTACAGTTGAAGGAAGCTGCATTAGTGTTTGTTCCCGATGTCACTCCAGCGTGTTTGTTATTACTTGCTCGATATATTTTTTGAGACTACATACCTCTTTTGGCTGCCGCTGTTGCAGGGAGACACCGTTGCTTCCTCTGTCATTCGCAATTCGGAGTTGCGGGGGCCGTGTGGGTTGGCAGTCAGAGGGCTCTCCAATTGTTGTTAGTGACAAGAGCATCACGCACCAAGTCGTCGACAGGCCCGCAGAAGGTTAGCCAGGGTTTGCCACTTTCAGTTTAAGGTTTGGTGTCTGTGGGGTTCCTATCTTGGCTGCCGGGTTTCGAACGGTTCTGTTTGTGAAGGGTATTTATCTTTCTGTGCATCTGGTGGTTGCTTTTGTGTGCGTCTTGTTGATGCTGGTCCCGTTCGTAGTTCTATTTTCTTACCGTGGTTCTCAGCCTGATGGTGCAGCAGCATGGGCTTGATTATTTTGTTGAATATGTGTTGAATGTACTGTTGTTGCTGTGGCTGATGGTTTGCCGCAGCGGTGTTTCAAGGTTTTGGAGGCTCTAGTCCTTCCCGGGAGTTTGTACAGCCCCAATGGATTTTTGATTGCCTCAATGCTGGCATTCTGCTGCCCACAGCAGACTACGCGCCTGGCAAGGCCTTGCCTCCCCATCTGTCGCCTTTTGTGGTGAGGCAGCAGCAACTGTAGTATTGTTTGTAAAACTGAAGGATTTTTGCAATTTTTGTGGGTACAAGTCCTGAGCTGATTCCTCCAAAGTGTCTTTCTGTCGGTGCCTCCGTGTTTGAATTGTTGCTGCTTTTCCCCTGTGGTTTACAGGATGACGAGGCCGAGGGTTACATTCCTCGGCAGAGGGAAGTCCTAGCTAAGCTTCAGAAAGCTCACAAAGAGAAAACGGCGAACACAGAGACACAAGAAGGCCTTTCAGACAGTGATGGTATGGCGATGTCCACAGCGGCAGGCAGCACCGTTAGCTGCTGTAGTACAAACTGCAGCAAGATGCAGGAGATTGCCGGAGTGGCAATCATGAATTGCTCTAGAAGCGTTTCCGTAGAGCAGGATCAGCTGTAGCATATTTTGTTTTGCGCACCCTGTCCTTTGCGCATCTGCAGGCCCGGTAGACGACCCGGAGGCCTCCTGGCGCCGTGAGAGAGGAGCTGATGTCGAGGCAGAGGTTAAGGTGTGTGCATGCTTTTGCACTGGCAGAAGACACTAGAGGCGCTTCATGCAACCTTTTCGTCTTCTGACTGGGTGCCTTGCAGCTGTCTGGCTTAGGTTTGTCACTTTTTCCAGTGTTACATCTTTGCATTTGGGTTATAAAACTCTTAGTATGCGTACGTTTTACTCTTTCTGCAGGGTAGCAGCGTCACAATGAGCACAAATACAAGCGATTGCACGTCGCCTCCTCCGCGCAAGTCGTAAGTTTTCAAGTGCACTCATTATTGCTGAAGTAGGACGATTACGTTTTCGTCAGAAGAAGTAGTAGCAGAAGCCGTGTGTGGTGTATTCTGTCTGCAGACGGAAGGAAGAATTATCAGAAGAGCAACTCAAGCATCAGAAAGCTTTAATGAACAAAAAGCACAAAAGGCTTCTAGAGCGCATCGAGGTAAGTGTTCCCACCCTAGAATGTCTCTCTGATCGGGACTCGTGGTTTTCGCAGTTCTGGTTCCTTTTTGTCCTTGGGGCGATTTTCCCGTCTATGGCGAGTCTCACATAATCCACGGTGGTCACTGCCCTCTCTCTGTGATGTCGCCCCTGTGAGGTGCTCCACTTGTGCTGCTCCAGCGGAGTGCCAGATATGCATGGAACCCCGTTGTGTGTGCTCATTTTGCTTCTCTCAGTTTGGCCACAAGCGGAAAGAGAAAGAGGCGGCGGCTCTCAAAGCAAAGCGCAGAGCACTCGAGGGGACATCAGAATAAACACTAACCGCAACCTTTGAAGTAGGAGTTGCCGGATCACTTGCTGCAGCAGTAGTAGAATTTGTATGTCCATAGAAGTGTAATCGGCAAAGTGGACCTCCAGCAGTATTTGATGGAGCTTTCCATCACCAGTCGCAACGGCACTTTGGCATCCTATGCGCTTAATTACTTCAGTATCTCAGTAACATGAAGGGCGGTACAGCGAAATGCAGTGATTTACCCTCCTCTTGAACACCACAAGGCCCCATGGGGTCCAGATGATTCACACTGGCCTCGTAGGAGCCTTTTATCGCGGATGCTCATCAAAAGCGGATTACAGTGGCTATTTTTGCTGCAATTGCAGTTACTATGAAGTTTAAAATTTTCAGTCTATCGCACTGTTCGAGTGAGGGCATAGGTCAAAAGATTTTACGTTCAGGGCTTAATGCACACTTGCTCCGCCAAGTAGCAGCTGATGGTTGGAGTTTTTTTGAGACACCTCTTGACGGTTGTAGCCAATAGTATAATTTAGAGTGTCTCAGAAAAGAATGTTGACACATGAATGGCACCTATTGCTAGTAATGCTGCTGTGGTTTAAACACTTTTCTTCTTGCACGCCTTTGCATTCAATACCATAATTTTATGCGAGGAAGTCGAGCAGTCGTCCTCAGCCTTTTGCAAGTCCCCACGCAGCATAGATCCCATGAAGGGCTCCTACTGAAGCCCCAGGATAAGAGTTTCCGGAGGCATCCATACGTAGCAGCAGCGCAGTTGTCGTCTCCTCTCAGTGTTGCCGCGAACATTGCTGTCTCTGACAAAGCAAAAAAAAATCAACGTGATCCCAATGATACAGCGCGTGTGTACCCGAGACGAAAGCTGCTGTTCTATTGTTGCTAGCCCCATCAGTACGAGGCTACCGCTGTAGAACCAGCATCAGCAGCATGAGCCAGAAAGGCTCTCTCGAAGATCCCTTTGCACCAGAGCGTACATGTTTTTGCCGTTGTTGCCTACAAGGGTCTTGATTTTTTTAAATTATGAGGATATTTTTTTCTACTTTGGATACTTCGTAATGCCTGAGCTTTCCTTCTACTGTTCGAGGGGATAAGTGATTTTCGCAGGGAAAACCTCCTGGTTGTAGGGTCTTCCACAAGTGATGTCCCGTTTACCCCCCAAGCCCTAATGTTTAAAAAACTAGGGACACAGAAAGCGGTGTACGAGGCTTTGTACAATGAACTTCGAGCCGGGGAACACCCTCTGAAGACAGGAGTAGCCTTAAAACATCATGGGACATATGATCCCACTTTGCATTCCTCGGGAGGGATGAACTTGTGTCTAGGTACGTAATGTAGGTGTTCAATAGCAAAGGTATGTAAGAGGTAGTTTCGAAGAGCAGCCCTTGCACCAATGGCATGCTTTGTCTTGGGGAGCACTTCAGCTCTGTGCTGCAGCGAGAGGTGGAAGCAAGACAATCTTCCCTCTAATTTTAAGCCATGTGCAGCCTCTAAAAACGTTTCAAAAGCCTATTTTTTTAACCCTATATTCATGAACCTGTTGGGGCTGCTACCTCGATGTTCTTGAAAGGTGACCTTGTAGGCAACCCCAAGCTAAGTGGGGCGATTAGTTCACCAAACTAATGGGAAAGGGCAAGCACAATATGCAAAACGTGCCAGTAGTCTATTTTACTTTCTCTTCTTTCACGCATGCCGAGAAGGTGACCAAAAGAATCTAGAGCCCATAGAAAGTTCCCTTTACTTGGGACCTTGCGGTGGCCCATGCACCAGAGTAGAGAGCTCCCATGGAGGGAGAGGGCCCTCTTTTCCACCTCTAATGACGTCCGAGATGGTCCTTATTCCACTGGTATATTTGCACTGCAGCAACCAAGTTGGATTGGCCGTTGCGTAACTCCTTCTGCAGTGTACAGCGAAGGGCTCACAGGCTCCTCTGGAGGGCATTTACTAACAAGCATAACCCCTCATCAATGGCCCGTTGAATCTAGGGCACAGCAGCGAAGAAGGCAGAAGAAGGCCATCTCACGTCCGCAAGTTCTCGAGCTGTCCCCTGGCCATATGCTACAGGCGGGGGTGCCTGGGGGCCCCGTGCAAAAGACTGCAAGTTACAAGCACTACCAGCAGTTGGAAGCTCCCATAGAGCAACAATGTGCAGGGGGACACTACAGTCGATGCTGCCGCAGCGGTTTCCAGCGGCAGCCGTCGTACCACGATGCCTGCAATGCATGTACCGCTACCCACTGCCTCCCAAGGAGAGAACACCCAATGACTGAGAACCAGTACCACATTTTACTTCAGCACCTGAGGGATCTCGCAGGGCAGTCTGGCCCTTCTGTTCTGGAAAAGGAACCGCAGCAGCAACAGGTTTCCGCCGTGCTACAGCACCAGCCAAACACTCTACTCAGCGAGGAACAACTGAAGGAGGCCGTGCAGCTCTACCTCCGGCAAACAACTGGCTCAGGGCAAAAGCAGCCGCCTCTTGCGAATAATATGCAGCCACTGCAACAACAGATGACAGGGCAGCAGCAGCAGCAGGACGCCACGCAACAGCAGCTCCTTTACTCTCAAAGCTCACCAAGCGGACTCGCTACTAGTACCATTTTGCAAGCTCAGCAGCATATGCAGCAACAACAGATGCTGCAGCATCAACAACTATTGCAGCAACTGCAAGTACTGCAGCAACAAATTCACCAGCAGATGCCAATGCAGTGCAAATCAGCGCAGGAGATGCTTCCTCAAGAGACACAGTGTGGCCACCTGTCAGGTCACGTGCCTCAGCCGCAGCAAAGATCTGGAGCACCAGACTGTGGCTTCTATGCTCCGAGCCGGCGCGTAGAGAGTCTGCTGGATGCCATGCAGGAGGACCGCCAAGGCCCTACGAAGAAGAGCAAACACACATTCGACCCTATAGTGCAGCAGCAAGGAGTAGTGGCGCTCAGGAAGAATGGTGGTCTTCATAGGGTAAGGGCAGGGATCGGCCTTACGAAAAGGACCTCCGGTGATACAGAAAACTTCACCACAAGGGATAAACCCAGCAGCACAGCTGTTGTTCGGGGAGAGGAAGATGCTTCCCGCGGCAGAAGCTGGAGGCAAATGCGCCTGTCCAGAAAAAAGCGAGAGCCTCAGTGACAGGTATTCGGAATCGCGGGCCCTTGCTGTTCCGTTTTCTTCTTGCTTAGCCTTTTGCCTGGTATTACTGTTGGGATGCAGCACCAGCAAAGCAGGTCTTAAAATACGAGGTTCTGTAAGGAACGGCACTTGCCTTGTGATATCGGTTTTTAGGGATTCACAAAGCAGCTAGTGCAATTGCATGAGAATGCAAATTCTCCCAACAAATAAGCCATACTTTCTATAGGGGGGCTCAATACTGCAGATCTTTACCCCCGCTGCAAGCAGCCTGTTTGTCACAGTCTTACTGAATAGGAGACAATTTAAAAGGTGATTCAAAAGAATCTATCAGCTATTCCAAAGGGTTTTTCCTAGTAAAGGACTTATCTGAAATGCGCATGTTTTTTTAGAAAAGATTTTGCGTGGACCAGCAGAATAAGAAAAGGCCTGAGCGTAGCTCTGCTGAATTAGCAGCACTGGACACCTGTTCTTGTCTGCCTAACCAAAGCCAGTAGCGCATGTGGGGACCGTATCGCCTCTGGAGTAGTGCACATCAGATTAGCATTGAGGAAACTCTAGCATTGTTCTTATCGATTCGCTCCCTAAATGCTTAACCTTGACCTGTAAGCTTAAGCTGCATGCAGCATGCAGGCGATATGCGTTTTAAGACACAATTTATCGCAAGAACCAGACTCGTGGCAGTCGTATGCAGGGTTTTGGTTCACGTTCGGTGTTCAGCGTGAATGAACCAGAGCTGCATGCTCAATCGCCTCCTAACGGCAATGCCCCAGCAGCCCTCTATGCGATCCATGATAATGATATTTGCGGCTGAACATTTTCGTTAGTTTGAAGCAGGAGATGCTCAGCACTTACTAAGAGCCGCCACGATAAGCAAGCACCTACAGATCAGGGTGGGGGACTGATCGATCATACACAGTAATGCGTAAAATATGATCGTTGAACCCTAAACAGAGTTAAAGGTACTACTCATGTGTTTCGTTGTATGCTTTCGGGGTTTGTCGAATTGAGTTTTGGGTTGGGGCTGATTGCGGAGCGGCTGTGAGGGGCGTCTAAGTGTAACGGGGCCCTCTTTGTGCGTTTGTTCGTCATAAAAAGCTACAAGAACGCTTTCTCTGTTCAATTCTCTGCTTGTTCCCTTCCTTCGACCAATTATTTTTCAGCTTAACCGTGCAGCAGCAGCGCTGCTCTGTTGCTATCACAGTTGCTGTGGTTGATCGGGAACAGTAGCGATTGTCATTTTCCTTTTCGCTTCTTTGTAGATTGTTGACAATTGTTAAAAGAGGTTTGAAGGGCAAAGATAAAGGAGAAAACAACGCAAGGCCACGCTTGCTGCCCTAGTAAGCGGCCGAACTACCGTATTACCGGGGGCCCCCTCCCGTTCGTTTGTTCGACCGCTCTCAGTGAGGAGGTGGCCCCGGATCGCCGCATTAATTTCCCTCTGTTGTCATCTCTATTCCCCTGCATCCCTATTCTGTGCTGTAGTTGTAGTGTCTGGGCACTTCCCTCTCTGTCTCCCTAGTGGTCTTTGTTGTCCTCTACATCCAGCATTGTCTGCTGCTCCGGGAAGGCCTCTCTCTGATGGAAGGGAGGATAGCTCCCGCGCGGCAGCCACTGCGCCTCAGCAGAAGTCGCGTGCTGCCGGGCTGCCTGTAGAGCCTCAAGTGGTTTCTCATTCCCCGTCGCATTTCTTGCCCCCATACACCTGCTGCTTTCACTGCACCTGACACCAGCGCTAGCCGCTGCTATTGCTCATGCTGGAGCTCTAGCTGCTGCAGCAGCTGGTGGTTACAATGGCAACACAAATAGTGTTGGTGCCGCGTAAACTGCAGCAGCAGACTCCTTCGACTCGCGATGGTCTTTCTCGTGAGGTAGAGATCTCTCAACGCGTTTATGGCTGCCAGCTCATTCAAAAGGCCGGTGTACTACTGAGACTCGAGGCAGTCACGGTCGCTAGTGCCCAAACCATCCTCCACAGGTTTTACTACAGGAAGAGCCTGAAGAAATTCGACGTCAGGGTAAGCAACGGCATTTGGGCAACCACCTAGGAACACAATGGCATTGTGCACCAGAAATTTGTTCTGAGGGTTGCTGACGGCATACAGTGGTTTCGTTACCGCTTGATATGTTGTCAAGGGATTATCTCGGTTTCCGTTCGTGTGGTAGTTTTACCGTAGTATGCGGTTTCATTTTACTATTCTTGCTATAGAAACTGCATGAATGGAAGTGACACCCTTGTGAATATGGTGCCTAGAGTTTTCGTTCCTAATTAATGTCCCTTTTCCTTCAGAACTCTTGACTGCTAATCTCTCTTCTATCTTCTCCGATGCGTGTACTTCATCGGATGTCAGTTTGCTTCTTTTTGCGTTTCGTCTCGTGCTGATTCGATTAATGTCAACCTCTTTACCATCTGCGAACTCCTTGCTTGCAGCCATTTTATCTTTTCATCCATCTCTGAATGTGTCTGTCCCCCCTCCCTCCTCTTTTTTGCCTTTAATTTCTAGTATCACGAGCCTCTCTTCGCTGACACTCTCGGTGGTTGGGTTTTTCTGCATTCCGATTTAGGGATTGTTGTGCGTCTCTTTCCGTGTTAGCTGGTGGCGACCTCGTCCTTGCTGCTGGCCTGCAAGTTGGAGGAGGACCCTCGGAGAGTTAAGAGCTTGATAGATGTCGTGCAGCTCCTTTCCAGGGCAGAAGATGCGAATGCCAAAGTCACAGAAGACAATATAGATGATTTCCTAATTGAATACGACTCAACGGTTAGGATATTTACTGATGCTTTTAGATGTCTTGCTGCTTATGTTGCCAATCCTGTTTATGCTGCTGCTGTTCTGGCTGCTACTGAAGCTGCGCTCTGTTTTCATAGGGTTCTCCATTGTGTTTTCCAACTCGTGTGTGCTCTGCTGATCCAGATCATAGTAATTTGCTAAGGGCATTTCTTACCTTCCACTTCCTATCTTTCGCGTCCTTTTGGTATCATATACATTTCCGCACTATTAGCCCCTGTCGTCAGAAGTTAATTTGGGTGCGAGCCTACGTTTTATTTTCAGGAATTTGACATTGCGCGGGCCGAGATATTTCGTTGCGAGCGCTACATTTTACGGGAGCTGGGCTTCATGGTATCGCAGACACTGGTGCACCCTCACAGATACATTCTTCAATACATTCATGCCCTGTGCAAAGGAGACTACGTGCCGACGAACAGACTCTCACAGATAGCCTGGGGATACCTCAACGATAGGTGAGAATAAGCGGGACTCTTGACTTCCCTGTTGACGAAACGGAAATTTCTCGTGCTACTAGCTTTTCGTTGGTTTCATTGCTGGCACTGTTCCTTCTCATTGTTTTAATAATATTTAAGCACAACGTTGAAGTGGTGGTCTCTTGTGATTGCCCAAGCAGCACCACATTCTCTCTTTCAGATGACTGCTGTATCTGCGGCTGCTTTGTGAGTCGCATTAAACTGCTATATGCTCCAGGCATTAGCAGTTTAACCGAAGTGTTCAACATATTGTTGTTGGCCTGCTTCGTTCCTTCTACATTTATTCATTTCATGTGTCTTTTGTTGCACGTTTTCAGCATGCAGACGACTCTTTGCTGCGAAGTGCAGCCCGCAGTGGTTGCTGTCGGCAGCATTTTCCTAGCGGCCTGTGACCTGAACATCCCGTTAGCCAGAGAGACGGGCTGGTATGAGCTGTTTGATGTAACTTGGGAAGATGTCGTTAAAGTTTGCACTCGCATTCTTTCCCTTTATAAACGCGAACCACCAAAATACAAGAAACTCGCCGAGACAAGGCCAGTAGTCGTCGCAAGACCGGAAAAAAGTATAACTAAGAATGAAAAAGATGACGAAGCTACGCCTGCCGGTGCTGCGCCAAGTGCAGCACCAGCCACTGAGGCCAACAGCAAGAATGCCGTGGACACAGAAACAGAGAAAATGGAAGCCGAGCCGATGGAGGTGGAATCAACGGATAATCCGGAGTTGAAAGTTGATGACAAACAGAGTGAAACAGCAGAAGGGAGAGGGGCAGAGACCCGGCCGGAAGCGTCGCCCGCTAGAGAATCACCGAGTTCAGTGAAGGGTGAGCCGTGTAGTGTGTTGAAATCTCATGTACTTGTATGTTTATGAGTGCCCATTTTTTAAACGTATATATTTGTGACTGGACACGTGTATGCATACATGTACTAGCCTGCATACGCATATGTGGATATATGCACCTACAGGTTTATGGTAGTTTACATGTATATGCATGCATTAAGCTGTTTGTAAATCCTAGTGTTATGTACCTGAGGATATATATGAGTACACTTCCAGATCCGCGGCACCTTGATTATTGTTGGTTTGTAGAGGGTCTGGCGTTGGCAAACGGGTAGGGCGTACAGTCTGCTTAGCATCTATGAGGGGTTGTTGGTGTAGTTTACATCGTTTCTTCTGTCATTGTTATTGTTGCTGCCACCACATGTCTGTTTTCTAGGACTCTCCATGTTATTGCGTTTTCTTATCACAGTGCCTGAGTCCCCGCGCTCTTCTGCAGTTGTTAGTCGTTCCCATGAGGCGTCCACCTCCAGGCGGGAGGCTGGAGAACGAGAGCCACCCGTGTCCCGGCGAGCTGCTGCCTCCGGCAGTGTCAGCTTGTATCGCCCGTCTTCTGAGGATAGCAGAGACCCCAGGGATTCACGACATGGGTATCGTGACTCATCGCACAGGAATAAGCCGACAGACAGCTATCGGAGTAAGTTCCAAGCTATTGTAAAGTCACGCTGCTGTATTCCAGATTGACTAGTCAGTGCAAGAGCTTGGCCTTCTATTTCAAAATTCGCCGAGTTAGACTAGCTTTGCTCCCGGCGCACTTATGACCCTAGTGGTAAATGCGCCTTTCTTTTTTGTGTGCTTGTGTTGCGTCTCTACACAGATGGGCACAGGGAGTCTCGTGAGGAGGCCGCGCATGATCACTCTACTCTGCGTCGTGCTGAATCTCGTGAGAGCCCTTCGCGTTACTCCTCTTCCCGTAGTATGAAGTGGGAAAGGTTCTCATCCAGAAGCAGGTACGAGGGCCACTCCATTGGATTCCGCGAACGGAGGCGGTATATTGATGAGGAAGACCCTTATTCTTCTCGCCGTGGTGAGCCAGAAGATCTACGGGGGTCAGTACCATCTGCCAAAAGGCCAGCACGTCGCGACTCGCCGGGTCGCGTGCATAGGTCCGTGAAGCCATCAGGCCCCGGCTCAAGGCGTCCCTGATACATCAGATGCATGTATTAGTGCTGTCTGTGCTGATGGTTCTCTGACGTCTCTTTATCTCGTGTAGAATCCCTTTTGCCTGGAGTGCAGGCCTCAAACTCGGCAATTCATACGATCTCGTGGTGGGATGCACTTCCAGCCCGTGAAGAGTGGCATTTTCCTGCATTTGTTCACGCTTTGCGTTGTGGGGGGTAAATGGCGCATGCAGAGATTAATTTCCTGTATAAAAACGGGAAAGGCTTCATCGTTAGAGTTCCCGGTAAAATTATGCTAAGTGCGAGCCGCGTTGTGGCACAAGGCTAACTAATTTTGCTGGGATACAGGAGGTTTTGTTCACTAGATCTACCGAACATTGTTGTTATTTGTATTCTAGTGAACTTGAGAGTTCATCATGTGTAGAAAAGCAGTAAAAGCCATTTTAAACAGCTGGAAGAATGTAAGGCTACAGGCTGTACATACGGACAGAACCAACTTGCAGACTTGCTCTTCATTCATTCTTTCCCCATAAAAGACGAATGGGCACAAGGTTTTATGTCCTCTTGCATCTGTGCATAACATTATTTTGATTATATTTAGACCGGAGAGATCGGTCATGCACAACAGCATTTGCCTACCGGTCATTACTCACAATGGATGAAACCCGGAGGAGCTCAATAGAATTGTTGGAAGAAATTAAGCTATGCGGAAAGCTACGGACGGATATTGGAAACGTGTTAATATCGAATGCGCAAAGGGCAGCGAAGTATGGTATAAATATATCATGAAATCTCACTTTACTTGCTCTCTCTGTCCGTGTAACTCCGTACTTCCCTCACAGACTGCAAAATGAAATAGAAGAACACAAGGCGACTACATGCCTCATACAAACTGACATATCTCATCTGGAGTCGAATCTGAAGTCCGCAGAGAGCTCTTTACAACAGGCATCCTGTGGCTTGGAGAAACTAGAAGTTGCGGCTGCGCACATGAAGGAAACAAACTGTATTTTAGCGCAGGAACTGCATCTGTCATCAAAACAAGTTGAGGCAAGTACTAAAGGTGGGCTAATCGTTGGATGTTGGGCACTTCCGTGTTGCTGTTACTTGTTTTGCTGTTTTTGGGTAATGTACAGCGTTCGAGGAGATAAAGAGAAAGCACGTGGTTTTTTGCGAAATGCAAGATGAAACCCACGGAAAGATGTACGGTGTTTGCTAGTATTCTTTTTATCCCTTTCTTGCCTCTTTCTTGTTGCCATCTTGAATAATTATTGCGCTGGTCCCTCTGAATAGCATTTAGAAACTACTGATGAACTTTCGGGAATTATTCAGGACATCTATGGAATCGTTTCTTGAATCCATCGCTCATGAAAACAGACAAATCCAAGGCTTAACGCAAGAATGTGACTCTCTTTTGTTGTCAGTTTCGCAGTTGAAGCAGAAGAAACTGGGGCTCATATCTCAAGTAGAAAACTGCAAAGGCTCTTTTGGTTAGTTTTAATGGTTACGCGATGAGCTCTAGTAGCTTTTATATAGAGCAATGGACCAGAAGCCGCCGCTATGGAATACGAGAAATGCAGACGAGAAAACGCGTCACACCTTGAGGTGATACAAAGCTGCAAGGCAGAAGAAGCAGCATTGCGAAATGTAAGTGCTGCTTATCTCTTGCCGATTTTTATTTGAATGTCATCCTACATAAGCAATCAAAATCCCTTGAAACCGAGTACGCTGAGCTCCGCAAGGGACGCGAAGAGAAACGGGTACTGAATAGTCCCTTTCTCCTCTATTCGTTTCCTTTCATAGCTTCGCCATTTCGAAAATTACACTGAACAAATGCAGAGTGAAGTAGCACGGGATCAGCTAAACATCGATTCTGCAGTCCAAACCGTAAAGAAAAAGACAGTAAGAGGGGATTCAGTGTTCTTTGGGAATTTAAAAGAACAGGTATTTATTATTTCCTGGAAACAGGAAGACACACTGCAAGAGCAGGAAGAGCTACTCCAAGTAGCAGCATTGAAGAATGAGAAGGAAAGGGGACTCGAAGACGCAATTAAACAACTAAAACTGGAGATGTCCGTGGCCACACAAGAGATGCACAAAATAATCGATAACATGGATGAACTGAGACAGCGGTGTGATTTTTACATTTTCTTCCATTCACTCTTGCGATTATCCTGCACTCCCTTTTGCGATAATCGCTGCAAAGGGATTCTGAATTAGCTCAACACAAAGCAGCAATCTTGCAAACTGTAGAGAGGGAAGAAGGAGAACTACATGAGCTGAAGAAGGAAAAAAGCATCACGGATTTCCGAAATGCACAACGGAAAGCTGCAACTCTCTCTGAAAATTTGAAACTGGGGGAAGGTAGAATATCTGAGATCTGTGTAGCTCAGGTGAGTGACAAGGTTCTCTTTACTTGTGTGACAATCATTTAAATCCTTTATTTTATTCATGGTGATCGCTTTGTTGTTAGGAAAAATCAATTTTGGAACAGGCAGAAACGACAGACTTGCTCATGCGAGAAAATTCGATGCTGGCTCGAACCCTGCAGACCTTGGCGCAAAGAGAGAAAGAAGCGGATGATGCACTGCGGCAGGCAAGAGATAATAAGTAGATAGTACACAAGTAGATGGTGATTTTAAGTAAAATCGATATAAGTGTCATGGAGAAAACCAAGCTATCTTGTACTCACTTAAAATTAGGGAGAAACTCTACGCGGACTATTAGCTGGACTGGCACTTCTTTTTGAAGAACAGAAAGACATATCACAACAGCTTACGCTTTCAAAGCAAGAAGTTGATGTGTTTTGCATAAGGGTATATTTGTTCACTGCTGATTTGCCTGCTGTACTCCAGAAATGTCACTGTTTTTTCACGTAAATATTTTTGTGCATTTGCTTAGCTCGATGCAGCGGAAATACAGGTGAAGCAGCTCGCACACGAGAAGATACTCATCGAGGTACAGTTATACCGAAATGTTTTAGCTGTATCTACTTTTTTGCCCCCTGTTATTCTACCTCTCTATACTTGATGGTTTTCTTTATTCTGCTGCATTTTTCCTGCTGACTACTCAATCGCATGTGTATTTTAAGGAGAACTGTGAAATAAGGCGGATGAAGAAGGCAGAAAATGAACAAATTTTGAAGCAGCTTCGAGAAGAAATTGAGGACAAGAGCCATCAAGTTATCGTTATAAAACAAAAACACGAAGAAATTAAAAAGGTGAGTACGAACGCCATCATACACAACATGGCAATCGTTTCCCCGTATTGTTTCGTTGCTAAATTATGCATTCATTTGTGCGTACGAAGGCAGTGGAGGAGATGGAAGCACAGCCGTCAAAACTTGCTGACGTAGCACAGTGCGTTCCTTGCAAAATTATCAAACGGCGAGGGGATAATTTCTATGCAGGAGAGGGCAAAATACGCAAGAGACATTGTGCCGGCTTCGAGAGGTAAAAAACTTAGTATTTTGAGATTGTCATTTGACTTAATAAGTTAAGGAATTGACTATTATTTGCGTTCTATATGGTTACTCTTCGTTTATAGGGGTTGGAACAGGAGTATGAAATGGCTTGCTCAGAACTCCGTGAGGAGTGTAGGCGGCAGTGCACAGAATTGTTACAACAAACTCTAAAGGTAATATCTGTGACTGCGTGTAAGGCATATTATGGAAGCAATCCTTAACCCTCTAATCAATACTTGATTTAATACTAATGGTTGTGCCTTGTGTTATTTTATTGTTATTGTGCAGGACGAGGAGCAGCGGCTCGCAGCTGAAGGGCTGCAAAGAGAAGAAGAAATAAAGGGTCAAATCGATAGCCTTAACGCAGAACGAGAAGAAAACAATATGAAAATTCTATCTCTGGAAACATTATTTAACTGAGGACCGCCGTAGTCCCTCTTGAAGACTACATTCGGCGGCAACTTGATGCATTCTCACACTTGCATCGCTTCTTGCTGGATGTTTAGGAACCTTTATTGCACTGACTAATTGCTTTTACAAGGCAGAACAAGTTTTTATGTTGTGTGTCTACCCAATGTGTAGGTACGCTATACTATCTGCCTTGTATATCTTTGTCTCGTGTACAGCGATGGTGGCATTAAAAAGCCTCAACCAATAGAGGCCAAGCTGTCGTGGCCGCCTGCTGACGTGCTTCCCCCCAAATGGCACACGAGCAACTCGATTACAATTGCTGCTATGGGGAAATTGGGGTTTCAACGGTTGCGGTCTTTTTTCTTTCGGGATTCCCGAAGAAAAAAGCTTTTCGGGATCCCCGAAGTAAAAAGCTTAATTATGTATCGAGTTTTAGATATTGAGCTTTGTTAATTGTGAACTGGGTTGCCTTTCTTCAGACCGCTGCTAAGAATGCTTGCTAGGGTCCTTCTTCCGTGAAATTTATGAATTACTCGAGGGAATGATCTGGAAAACCTCAAACCTGGAAGTGTCTTTGGGGCCTGGGCAAACAACAGTGGGATAGAGGAGGAGCTAAGGCAGCAGATGAGCAGTGAGAGGTATATGGGAACCTACAGGAGATAGTAAGACGAAATGAGGACATGGAGCGATTAGTAGAGAAGGATAGTGAAACGCTTACACAGGTGGTACACTCACCGTACCTAAGAGAGAAGCAGCTGTAGAGATAGGGCAAGCCAAAGGCACATAGAACTAGGTATACTGAAAGACAGCATTGACAGGGTGACGCTGAAAGATCAAGTGAGAAGGAAGACAAAACTAGATGCTTCAACTTCATGCTGTCGGTACAAATGGTCTTGCTGCCCCGATTTTATGTCTCAGAGAGGAACTCTTGAATCCCTTGTGGCAATTCGTCGAACTTGTGAAGCGGAACAACACTGAATTGAAGCAACGGGTAGTCGACGATTCTAGACAAAGAAGCCCCAATGTTTCGGCCTCCTTCAGGCCACCTAACACCGGCAGCGTCAGTGTCCGTAACAAATAAAACAATCGTTCACATAGCACAAAAACTAGAGGGATTGACAACACAGCATAATACAGTACTCATCCAAAGAGATTTACAGCAAATTATATTGTAAAAATGCAGCCGAGATGGAAGTACCATCAACCCGTTGGACCACTTGGCAAGTAGGCAATGCATACCGACCCACGAAAACAAAAATAGGCTTATGGATATAATATGTATACAAATACTGAAAAGAGGACAGGCAGTCACGTTGAAGCCGTGGGACTAGGCATTCAAACACAAGCAGACTTGGCCTTCTACTTTGATAGAAACACGATATCCACGCAATTAATTGCGAAAAGCCTCGATAAATCCTCCATAAGAAATATATATGAGGAAAACGCGCTGCTGAGCTCTGCTCTAATGTAAGGACACGTGAGTGCCTTGCTCATGAACATCTGCCTCTTCATGGATCTGGCTTACATCTCTTAATCGAAAACTGAGTGCTGTTCGCTCTCAGAACCTCCGTTGCCTTGCTGTCCATTTACCGTCTATATTGCTTCCAGTTACTGTCCCTCTCATTCATTCAGTGGATCCCTACGTCCAAGTCTAGGCAGCAGTTTGCTTTGGACTTCTTAAGAACAAGCCTCTCCAATACACGCGATACATGCCATGTTGGGCAAACTTTTCAGCGTGCATCCCTTCGAACTCAGCAAGCCTATGGTGCAGCACTCCTGTACACATCGTCAACTAGCAGGCTAGGGACAGAAAATGATACACGACGAGCGGAGTGGAGAAAGCTACAACCGAAAGATATACAGGGAAAAACACTGTATTCGACACGCGCACCTAGGGCGAGAGAAGATATATAGTTTTCTGCTATACGTGCTCCATATGTGCGTAAATATATTGGGACCACATCGGCCCTTTTAAGTATTCTATTACGAATTATTACCAATAGCGGTGAATCTACATTCTGATCTTCAAAGCCACAACTCTGATTCTAGTGGTCATCCACGATGCCTGCTGCGAATGCAAATAATTCCCTGGAGAGCACTCTCTATTGCTTACTACCAATTTGCGTAGTCCAACAGTGGCTTCGGCTGTTTCCTAGCTCTAAACGAAAAAATGAAATTCGACGCAAACAGCGACAGCTTCCAGGAGATGAAAGTGAGAGAACCGAGTTGGGCATCTCAGGAGCAGGATGCAATTTAGGCTTTAACTTGCTTATTTGGCTGTCTTTACTGCGCAGCTATCCTCACTAACTCTCACTGTACGAATCGTCTCAAAGCGGTGCAGCAGAGTTAAAATATCCTGACAATAATTTGTGGGCTGTACTCTTCCTTTAAGTAGATAAGGGTGTGTGTACTCCTCTACCGATGCAAATAATTGATACTTCGAGCGTCCGTACTTGGTAGCCATATCCCGCTTCTAGAACTGTTCTGCTTTCCGCTCGAAGAAACCCCTGATGTTCCTTCTAGAACTCCTAAAAGTTCTTGTGAAGCTGACTAGAAAGACCCTACGGCTTGCCTTAAGGACTCCTTCTGAGACACCTACGGGAACTTTGTAATATTCACTACAATCCTCTTTTTCAGGAGTGTAGAGGTTTATGGTGACGTTTAAACATCCTGAGCAAGCGTCATGCACTTAAGAAGGTTTTTTAAAGACTTCACATGCGCCACTATTAGCCCTCCATGCAGAAGGGAGGGATCTTATTTTTAATCGATAAAACCATGCATGCCTGCTCCTGCTTAGAGATTGCTGGAATTTTTATATTTGTCACAGTGTTCATGGCTGGTAACTCCCCGTCCTTAAATGCATTTATTCTGGCTAATGAAGGACCTGCTGTTACCCCTGGGTGACCCACCGATCAAAAGTACTTATTGAGCAAGAGATGTATAGAGACATGTGCACGAATCTGGTTCTACCGATATAACAGTAGTTTGGTGAGCAGCTTGGGCAATTATACATCTGATATATTACAAAGCTTTTCTGAAAAAACTCCTAGACGGCAGTTCATGCATCGTGCTGCTTGCCTTTGGCGCTGTTGGTCGTATCATCGAAACCATCGTTAGAGTCAAACACTTTTGAGCCAGACCTCGCCTGTATTAAGCAAAGGCTACAACAGAAGAGAAAGAGGAATTCTTAACTAATAATGCTAGATCTGGCCGGGTGAGAGGAGAGGCAACATCGTATGCCACAACTACCGGTGAGACTCTCCTTGCGATTGCTGGTTGTATTCTTGCTGGTGATTTGCCGCTGTTGTAGGCAGTAGTTACGCGGTTTGGGTCGCTGCTTAACAGACGTCTGCTGCTGATAAGATTTCCACGAGGAGGGCCCTGCAAGGTTGGGGGGAGGGGAGCAGAGGCTCAGAGACTTCCGTCAGGGAGCACCTGCGAGTTGATCTCGTTTTTATTTGTAATTCCCACGGCCCCAGGAGTATATACAGCTGGGGGATAGTACCGGTCGGCCTAGAACAAGTGCACGAAGCCTTGAAGCATCGATTCAATGCTGTTCTGCCCTTTCGTTTATAGAACCAATGGTCGTGCAACATGAGAGGGGATGCCGCTCTTCCTCAACTTTGACCAGAGACAGCAAGCGACACTATTCCACAGATGCAAAGAAGTACATATAGAGGAGCAGAAGTACAGGGGTCGTGAGAAAGCAGATATATTTTACAGTTAGACGCACTTTCGAATGCAAAGGCGGCAAGTATGAGCACAGTTTTGTGTTTCACGCGACCTTCCTCCAGCCCTCGCCACTGGCCTTCATGTTGCTGTTCTGCTCTCTCTTTTTTCTCGAACAGATCGGCAATTAAATGACGAGCTAGTTGAGCATGTTATGTACATCTTGAAGAAAAATCAATAGAAACACAGAGTTTTAAGCCCTCCCTCGTACCAAAACATGGGTGTGAAGGAGGTACCCTTGTCTTTTTCTGTAAAGCAATCCTCTTAAAGACCTTACTTGAGCATTCGCAGTTTACATATCAGGATCAAGCTATCAGTCCTCTTCATATATTGAGGACAAAGAGTGGAAAGAGCTGTTCTTACCCTTTGGTCCAGTGACCTACCCGGAGGCTGTGGGAAGTATGTGAAAGTGAGACACCAAGCATCAATTTGCAATAAAAAGTGTGAGCAAAAAGAATTAACGTAAGAATGACTTTGTAATAATATCACCTTCAGCTATTTAGCCCTCGAAATCGTTTCTCCCTAAACTGTTTGCTTTTCGCGTCGATACCGTTGCAGCCTCCAAGAACATTTAGCTGTGTATATACTTATATAGCCGGTTCTATCTAGTATTGGTTTGCAAGCTACGAAACCCCGTGCGTGAAGAGTAGCGATCCCATTCTTGCCGCCATGGGCCACTGTTTTCTCACTGCTGTTCTCCCCTCCACTTCGTTATAGCACTCCATCATCGGACACGAATCTGGTCCCTCAAGATGCAGAAAAGGCCCACGGCATGTGTTCCTCTAGGCGGCTTACGAAGAGAGATAGCTAAACCCACAAGCCTTTGATCCCTTGCCTTAGAGTAAGGCGTTGACTACGCAAAGTGCTGCCAAAAGGTAAATGTTTTCCCACGCCCAGCTCCTAGAATGAGGCTTTTACGACTCCACGCCCACTAAGCGTTCTTCTGCCTGTCCCCTATTCTTAGATGTTGTGTTTGCTTTCGGGACGAGGCCGATTCGACAAACCAAAGCAAGCAAATGCAAGCAAGGCTCCGCTGCCCACGCAGGGCCTGCCAAGTTTTAAAAACGATTCAAACTGCATT